ATTTGCTTTTTACATTTTCCTTTTGGATGTCTTCCCCCCGTCCCCTACAGAAACAAGCACAGGTCCTGATGGAAGAAGTTGCCACAAGCACTGCACACCGCAATAGCCACCTGGCCAACTAGCTCAGGCTGCACTGAAACTCCGTCAGCTCATGACCCCCGCTAAAAAAGGATACCTTGTTTGGTAAGGAACCCACAAAACAAAAGCGAAGACGGATGCCGCTGAACAACTGTCAACGTTCCATGTAGCTAGCACAGAAGATCTGTTTCCGCTTGGCGAGCAAACACACTTGAGGAGTGATCATTGTGATTCACACACCTGAAGCCAGGGATTCCTCAAGAAATGGTTCTTCATATCGTATTGCCGTCCTGGGCGAGGTCATTTACCCCTTAAAAAGGTCGTTGGAGTCTTGCAACGAAGGCATGGGCATGCACGCCCCAGCAAAGCTGACTGCTATGTGAATGGAAACCAGCATCGAGGCTCAACGACTTCATGGCCTTTGCATTCGCGGCCTTCTTTCTCTATAATATATATATATATATATACACGACTATATATGGGTTGCAACATATATATGTATATATATATATATATGTATATATATATATATGATGTACAATATGAACACTCCAATGCGCCCCGAAGAACCTTGGGCAGCTGATACCGGGCTGTCTTTTTACCGTACCTCCAATGCGCCCCGTACCGATTTGTTACCATCTCCATCGACTCGTTGAACATATCGGACCGTTCATTTGGCCGGTCCGCCTGGCGATTGGTTCCGCCTTCCCGACCGAGAGGATTTGTCGCCAAGAATAGGGTGGGTCAAAATGAAACCACCATGAATTGGACCGTAGGTTTTGGTCCAGGTTTCCACTTACGTCGATTCCATGTTGGGTACATCTTTTTGACCCACAGCCATATGGAACCACGGCTTCAGGTTTTCTGTGGCGTCGATTTTATCAAGCAGACATTGGCGTCCCTTTCGCTTCCCTTCAAGAGCCCGGAAAGAGTAGCCCTGCAAAATCATTGATGCCCCTTTGTCCCATCACCCCAAGGCAAACATGGTGACTCATAGGTGTCTCTTTGGTTGGCCTTTGACACGACCCCCAAGGCAAGGGGATTTCCATCCAAGCTGGTTGGTGTTGGTTCCCATCGAGAGTTGTGGCTTTTGGCTCCCTTTTCGCTGAACCCCAAAAGCCACTCAAAAAAAACCCACATCACACCCAGTCGGATATGGCTGTGGGTCAAAACCCTGCACCCCTAATAAACATCAAAATAGGTGGTGCATGGGTGTTCTTCCGCCCCAAAATGGAGGCATAGGTTATGACTCATGGCCATATCTTCTTTTGGAGCTGCTTTCAATGGACATCTCTGGACCGTCCCCATGAAAATTCCTCTCGGAGCGCCTCTGGGATCATGGACCGGAAGAAGCGCACCGGGAGCAGCGGGGAGAAGCGCCGGAAATCCGCGGTGTAAACCTCCTCGGGCCTCCCGGGTTGACCGACGAGGCCGTGTTTTCCATTGGAAGAACCCCTGATAGTTGTGCTTTGGAAACCCCACGGATCTTCATTGGATTCCTTTGGAGTTCGCTTGATTTGTGTTCCCATGCTTCTCTAGAATGGCTTTCTTAGAGAGGTTTTACTGGAACCAGTGGGTGAACCCCTCTTCTACGCTTTCCGCTGGCAGAGTCCTTTCATAGATTTCTCGTGCTTTGGTTTTGCATTGGTGTCCCCTGATTTGGCATGCCCTATAAACTTCCCTGTTCAAGGCAGTGGATGAAGGGAACCTTCTGGAAACATGTATTTTTGGCCTAAGGTTCTAAGGTCCCCGGAACAAACGAGGTTAACAATTTCAGACAGGATACCCTGAAGAACATTTACACCACAGTGGGGTTGGCTTCGCCTGGCAGTAAGAGTTTCAGGTTCCCCAGCAAGCCCCTAGTTCCTGGGAATTTCATGAGAGGGAGTTGCAGACTTGTCGGTGGCGAAGGGATCATGCCCCTTGCCAGGCTCCGACTCCCCCCGCAGCCACCGAATCGAAACCAATCTTCTCTTCAGGGGGCTATTCAGTTGGTAACGAGTGGCCAGTTAACTTTCTTGCGGATCTATGGACTCCAACAGGACACCATGAAATCCGTGAACTTGTAAGTACTGTCCAGCCCCTGCTGAAGTTTTCAGGGTGTGAAATTGGTGCCGCTAGTCCCCGAATTCAGGGTGAGCATTGGAAAGTGGACACCCCAAATCCAGGCTGGCAAAAAAAACCAAACGCGGCAACTACATGATGATCAATGCTAGCCCTGTTGCAAGGAACCTCCATGCCAGTCACACTCACACAGGTACATGTTACAAGAAGCGCATGTAGCTGGAAGCATGTGATTGCGTGAGCCATGCCACAAAGCATCGTTGAGCTCGCGTCATCGCAAACAGCCTGCGAGAACATGAGAGACTCAGGTCCGGAAAGTCGCTGATGAGCAAATTGGGCCAAGCCCCAGAAGCTGTCCCCTAGCCCATCGTAAAATCCAGGTACCCATTGGTTCCCGAGCTGCGCAAGTTGCTCAAGTTGAACGACATCATTTGGCACAGGCACACTTCTCTTTTTGTTTTTTCATTTATTCTTTTGCCCTTTTTCAATAATATCATTATTTTTTCTCCTGAAACGACCGCCTGAAAAAAGCAAACCCGCAAAGCTTTCAACCATTCCGAGTCTGTCAACGAGCCGCCCAGGCCCCCAAATCGAAGCCATTGAAATCCCAGTCCTGAGCTCAGCCAACGTCTCCCGGTCAATCTTTACCGGTTGGTACCTGCAGCACAGCTTGGCGGGTCTTTTTTTTGTTTAAGCAAAGTTGCGTTGTTTTGTTTTTTTGTGTGTCTGTGTGTATAAATGGTACAGCTCCCACAAGCCTTAGGTTTGGAGGGGAGATAGCATGAAATTATATATATATATATATATGTGTTTTGTATACATATATACATATGTATGGTGCAAATGGCTGATCCTGGGAAGCCTCCTGAACATGCTGACTCGGCTGCAGCGTGGCGCACGGTTCGCCGGGCACGAAGTAGCTAGCTGCGTCCAACCTTGGCGACTCAGAGTCATAGCAGGGAAGTCATAGCGGTCAAGATGTTCGGGTCTCCGACCTTGTTTGATCTTAGTGGTTCACTGATCTCATGCTCAAAGAACATTCTAAACCTCTAGCAATTGACAGGTCCTTCAAGGGCGCTGGGGTATGGCTGGGAAACGTCAAGGAATCAAGTTGGGGTATGGCTGGGAAACGTCAAGGAATCAAGTAAGACACATCGACCACATGTGATTTCTTCCGGATGCTTACAAACAAAAGCCAAACCCACCTATGCTTTAGAGCAGGGGCCTTCGACCTCGAGGTACTCTCTCACAGCAATTGTTCACCAGCATCATTGTCCCCCTTCCAGCGGCACATGATAAGCCAAAGCTCGTCTTCCAGAGAATGAGCCGACCAAGCGCTAAACTCTACCCTGGGATGCCGTGCATCTTCTGCACAAAGAGGTCAGTGCCACCATCATCAGGCATAGGGCCCTGGCATCAGTTGCATTCGGCCCCTTCCTAGCAGAATCATGATCATGCTCTTTCTGGGGGACAAGCCAACAGTTAGATTCACACAGCAATTGTTCTGCTTGCTTCTTCAGGAACCCCACGCTGAACATATCGCGGTCAACTTGTTGAATCAACAGCTAGGGCGGTTGCTTGATGTTCACACTGGGAGAATGATAGCAACATGAGCTCCATCACCGAAAGTTCTATTTGAGCTTTTGACTCACCTCTTGTTCTCAATCAATGTTTGGGCGATGCACCGCCAGCTACACTTGACACCATTGACACCAATAGGGTGTTGTCATGTTTGTCCCCGTAAAATCAAGAAAACCATTATCCTCCTTCCGAACAGGCCAAATCAAGCCAACCTTACAAGCAGGGTCGAAGCTCTTGCTACATTTCCGACTTTCCTAACTTGAGAAAGCGTGCCTGCTCCTCGTTGGGATGACTTGGCCAATTCACATTTCATTTTTCGCGTAAGGCTCTGCAAAAGGCCGCCATGAGCCAACTAGCACTGCAAGTCCTCATGTAGGTCACAGCCGTGGTGAGCGACCCTGGCATGTGCAAACATGTCGTACAACAGGGCAGCCGCGATACAAGTTATGGGAGCGGGAATACAATGTCTGCCCATGGCAAACCGAAAACTGAGAACCGGGTGCGGAATGGTTGCCATGACAAAAACCCTCTCATTTTAGCCTGAGAAGTGGGGCAGTGGGGCCTGCCCTTTCCGGGCGTAGTCTATGAAAGTATCAGTCGTGAGTCTTTGGGCTCCCTAAACAGGTGCTGCAAACCAAGCAACCATCCAGGATGCAAACTCACACACTCACACGGAAGTCTTGCTACATCGCTTGGGTGCTGTAGATCCCCCGTCAAACAGTTTACTTTTTTGCTGGTTAAAAGGAAATATGAGGGGACTCCAAAAAGTTAAAGTCTAAAGATCCAACCCAATAGCTGTAGAGATCGTGAGACGCATCAGCGCGGCAGCTTTCATTCAACCGACTGCTCAAAGCAACCACACACACACACAGAAAGCAAGATGTGCACACAAACAGCGCTTTATTGCTGCAGGTACTGCTTGTCCCTTGCCGCTCCTCGCTCAGCGACATCACCTCTGCACCCCCGCGGGTGCTCTCGTGCCAGCCATCGCCTGGTGTGACAGCCATGCGAACACGGACCTTGGGTGCTTTGGCCAGTGCGTGCCCAAACACCAGCGCCAGAAGTGACGGTCATTGATCGTTTCAAGGCAGGGGATCAGCAAGCCCTGTAGAGCCATGTAGGAACTCCGGTACAATTTTCTGGAGCTGTTGCACAATTTTGAGTCGCAGCCACACGTGGCCATGGTCGCTCTTGGGTGGGCCATGGTGGCTACTCCATAGGAATCCATCCTCCCTAGGGAGAAAACCAGAGCCCCCCCCCCCCGGTCATGAAGGAATCTTAGAACTGTTAACGAAGGCAATCTTAAGGATTGAGGACATGGAAGGGGAGGCCTTATTGTCTCGCTTGAACCCGGCTAAACTATTCCCACATGATTCTTCCATGATCACTTGAATTGATTTCAGACTGCCTCCCCCATGCTAGGTATGTAGCCCCTGACTCCAGGCACCTGACCGAACCTCCTCTCCCTCGCCTCCCTGCTGTGGCTTCCGGTTGGGCTCCTGCGAGATGAGCTTCTGCGCCTGCAGACGGTTGTATTTGCCTAGGAAAAACGATTCCTGGGCTCGAGGCTTTGAGGTAACCCGACTGTTTGGGACACCAAGAACAACCTGGATGGTGCAAAAGCCCATTTGCGAATGGAGCCCTCTGGATAGGGCGCAAGGAGAATCACAGCTGGTGCACCCTCTGTTGGCTTCTCTTGTTGCTAAGTACGCCCCTGATTTCCATTGCAAGCCTTGGATAGAACTAATGGTTGAGGAAGCAACGCCGCAAAGCGATGCTTCTCTGGAATGTAGGCTGGGAGGTCGGCGAAACCAAACCTTTTTGTATGTGGCATGACTTCGTGGTGTTGACCTGGTCTTGACCGTTTATTGTGCTGACAATGAACATGACATTGAATCCGGGGTCAACATTTCCACCGACAAGCAGTGAGCATAGTTGGTAGCTGAGGAGGGCTTTAGTATGGCTTCCCGGCACCTTGAATGCAATGGTCGGTGCATCGCATTCACCAACACTTTTAGGGGGTCCGAACATGTGCTGAACGTCTGAATTTCCCCTAGGTCTTGCGCAATGAAACCTATCCGATGTTCCCGGCCTCCTGAATGGAGATGTCCGCCTCAGGCTGGAACTCCACCAAGGGCAGGATGTCGAAGCCCAGGAAGGTGCGCAGGAAGGGATGCCTCGGGTGTGCCAGACCACGTACCTCTCAAAAGAGGATGTTTAGACAAGTGCTTGAACGTGTTAACGGGTTGGCCCAATTAAGTTTCCTTGGAGTTGTTTCTCAATTAAACCACCCCCAAACAACAAGACAATTGACCATGGCCCGTGGGGGTCAAGATGGATGTGGGCCCCATCAAAGGAGGCAGTGCAAAACACACAATTTTCCAAGGCCCACTTTTGACCAACTGTGGGAGGGTTCACAACCAGTCCAGGTGGGAAACAAGTCATGCCATCCTCAAAGGGCCTTGGACCTGGCTTTTTCCTCCCTCCAGGGTGGAGCTCCGGTTTGCCATGGAACTTAGGTGTGCATGGCGCCAGCTTGCCTGACCTCGAATCAGTTGGACTGATCGAGATTTGTTTTGCTGAGGCTGGGATGAGGCTGGTGGAACTGGACGCTATGGGCTTCAGGGAATCCGAAGTTGCCAAAGGAAGAATAGAACACCACTTGTGTCTGGCTTCTCCCTACCATGAACAGGAGCAACGGACCAACCCGCCAAGGTGAGCAACCTCCACCATCTGTGGGGTATTGAACATGTTTCCAAGCATTGACGTTCACCAAGACACCCGCAGTTGATGCAGGCGTCTAGGTTGGAGCGCAGCAGGGGATTGGTGGTCATGCACCAGTTGCACACCGGCAGCAGGTCGTCCTGCACGAAAACATGTCAATATGCCGCGATAGTACTATAAGAAAGTCCTTCTGCACACCGCAAGTCCCTCGCGATATCCAAGTTACCATAGTCAGCTCTGCAATGCAACCTAATCCCCAAGACCAACATGCCCAACAAACATCCTAAAACCCGTTTGACACCAGTTGGAGAGGGCAACGGGCTTCCCCTTGCCCCATGCACTGTGTGTGTGAATGAAAGCGACACCAAGCTGTTGCGACGTGATCACGGCATGTTGCCTGACCAAAATTACTATTCATTCTCCAGGATCATCTGGAAAGTGTGTAAAATTACTTGTCCTGAAACGTGCCCGTTGGGCAGCAGCCGCCGGAAGAGTTCAGGCAGCTTCTGCAAACACTTCGTGGAGGGCTTGCAGGGGAAGGGGGCCGACTGGAAGAACTCGTCTTTCGCGCTTTTCCTCTTGTGCTTCCGTGGTACTATTTTAGGACAGACTCACACACTCACACACAGCTGTATGTCACTGGCCCTGGCCCTTCCGCGTCTCTTCCGCCCTTCCGCGTCTCTTCAGCGCACACAGTGGGAAGCTCATGCCATGTTCGCCTGGAATTTGAAAAGACTAAACCGAATACATGGGTTCTAAGTCCACGAATCTGACAACTTTCTCCGACAGGACTCTTCAGGAAGCTGTCAATCAGTAGAGACTCTTCCGTACTTCTCACAATGAACCAAACAGGGGTCTTGCTATTCCCACAGTGGCTCTATACTGCTTCTTCTCTGGATACGCTGTCCATCCCAGGATTAAGTTCTGATCGACTATTTTTCCCAGATCGAACATATGGCCATGTGTCAAAATTCCGTACCCCCAGTGAACATCCCAATCCCCACTAAAATAGACTAAAATGGGTGGTGCACCTACCCCAAGAAGATGGTACCATTGGCTTTGACCCACAGCCATGTTACAATCTTCTTTGGTGCCACTTGGCAAAACCCCAAAACAGCAGCCGCGGCGCGGCCCGACGGCCAAAATTGCGGTGCCTGGTCACTGTAGGCCTTGCTGCGGATGGCCAGGCAAGCGAGGTCGATCTGGTGCTGCCAGGTGGGCGGCACTCGAAGAACCTGCTCAAGGCCCGCAGGATTCAGCAGACTTCGAATTGGGAAAACTCTTTGGTGTGCTTCCCTTACAATTGCTATTCTTGGTTCAAGCATTTCAGACAATCAGCCGGTGCAACAGCAAACAGGCTCCTCTTTAACACTCGCGCGATTGCGCTGCACCTCACGGTCGCGGTGCACAGCGACCTAAATCGCTAAATGTCGCCGGACGAACTTCCCGACGTCGGCCTGGAGCTTGTCGTAAGCCATGCGTGCCAGCTTGAAGGCCTAGGTTCAAGTTGGAAACGCCCCGATATGTCCTCAACTCCATCCACTGGCACTGACTCATTGCTTGACACGACCGGATACGGCAGTCAAGCCTTCCGGATCCGGAAAACAACTATAAACCAGTTGGAGCTAGTTGCAAGACAACACACATCTGCTACTTGTACCAGTACAACTTTAGTGGGTTAAATGGAAACACTAAACCAACTAAAAAACCCGTGCCACAGCTAAGGAACCAACCGGATCCCTGGGAACCGTTGACTGGTCGAATGACTTTCCTGAGCGCCGGGGCCCCAAGGCTTTGGGCCTGCTTCGCCAGCGCGTAGAGGATGTACACGCGGCTGATGCCCAAAGGCACCTAGCGACTTCTTCGCTCTCCCGGTCACCCGAGATGAGTGTTATCCAACTTCGTTAGTCATGCGACAAAAGTCCCTTTGCAATCTTTGCAAGGGGGTTCTCTTATGACTGTAGTCCGCGTGTGTGTGTGTGTGTGTCCATGTGTTTGCCAGTTTATCTATGCATGAAGGTCAGCATGGCTACCGAGCTTGATCACCACATCCCAGGGCCTTGAGGCATTGAGGGCGTTGATCGGGATATTCTCTCATGAAACTTTGAGTTGCTACGGTCTGAATCATTTTGGCTCCTTTGAACGCCAGAATTATTCAATTTATTACTTCCATTGCGGCACGTAGGCTCCATTGGTGTTCACATACCGCCAGCGGTCACCAAATGACTTATGCAAAGTTGATCCCTCGTGGAACCCTGCCACAGTGTAACCGTAGGCGTCGTCTGCAGCCTGGGAAATGCAGGACTACTCGTTTTTTAAATGGATTGCAACTTGGAACATGTGCAAAACAAACAGTTCCATCTGAGCTTTGCTGGCAAAGACGAGCCGAAAAGATCCGATACGTCACCAAGATGGCCATCTTGCAAGGCTGAAAGCAAGGAACAAGGGAACCCTTTTCGAGGTTCACTGATTTTTAGTGGGGAACCTATGAACCAAAGAGCGAACATGTCAGCGAAGAACTGGGATGCATATCAGACAGGACAGCTGAGATCACATCGTACTGAACCTTTGCCAACTCTACATGCCAATTGGGCGAATCATTGTTGCTTACTCCCACGGGGTGTTGGCTCTTACTCCCCAGTTACAAGCAGTCTAACATGGAGCCACAAATCGCAGGGCAAGGATCCCTACCCTGGAAATGGAGCCCTAAATGGAACCAAGGATCAAAACCTGCGGCTTTTTGGTCTCATTTTGACCCATACCCAGATCTCCTTGACGCGGACCCCGCGAAAATCACAGCCTCCTTCAGGAGGTGGCCGCGGGCGTTCTGTTGGCTGTCGCTGCGGACCCTGGGACGCCGGACATGCACAGAACAAGTCACGGGGTTCCCGAAACGTCCCTACCCCACTTAGCTGAAACTCACTTTGGGCAGGGTGATGTTTAAAGTTTAGAGGATAGAGGGAAAATCCAGGCAGTCCAGCAAGGGGGAACTGAACGCGTTTGTTTGGTTTGCCGGAGTGAAGCCCATTTGCGCTCCGCTCCATGATCATAATGCTAAGCAACCATCTTTCTTGGATCACACTCTGATGTTTAGAATACACACACACACACAGGCTGGATCAAACCGCTGATCAACCAACAGGAACAGCGGCATTTTCAACGCACTGGCAACACCTCTGACATTGACCAACCACGCAAGGAAGATTGCATGCAGGAACAGTGGTGGAAGGACATCATGCCTCTTGAAGTCATTGCATTGATGGTCTAGCATTAAGTCCAATAATCTACTGACATAGAATCACTGCCGGTGCTTGTTGTCTCACAGGACGCTTCTTCCAATAGCCCCCGGCTGAAGAAAATGAACCGTGATACATAACAGGTCTCTGTTGACCTCCAAGTGGCCATGTTCACCGACAAACAGTGCAGCTGTCCGGCCAAAGCGGACGGGCCGAGTGAGATCACCACGGACCCGACGAAACCGGAGAACGTGGCCGCAATTGGGAATTGGGATGCCTGAAGGATGATGCGCACGTCGCCAGACTCGTCAAAATCA